GGAAAGAGAGAAAACACAACAAGAAATCAACATCCAGAGAGGGAACAGAAAGTTGACAACTTCCTTGTACTCTCTGAGTTTCTGAATTTCTGTGGGATGCAGTCTGATGGATGAATGCAGGCAGTTTCCCCTTTTGTACTCTCCACCAGAGCAACCCTTCTGGCTGTGGTTGGGAATTTATCCATAAAAAAAAGAGAAGCAGCTAGCACTTCCAAAGGAATCGTTTTTCCACCCCCCCATATAAACCTATGTGAGGGATGGAAGTGTAATCCGCTTGGTTCAGGCATGGGAAAATGTGTGTTGGGCAAAGCTGGAGCAGTCCCCAGTGAGCAAACAAAGCTCTGAAAGATGCTGCAAAAGGCGAAGCAGCTGGTTTTGATAATTTTGATAGCAAGATGCAACAATGATTACAAGTCCTCAGGGGCAGAGCAAGCCCTAGAATAAAGTGTCATCTTCGGTTCAGCTGACACTTAGTGGCTTTTTGTCTCTATGACTCAAAGTTGTGCGCTGCCTTCAGATTTCTGTAAGGAGGAGGAGGAGGACTTGTCCTATCCAGAAGTGAGGGATTGGCAAACGCTTTGGTACAGGAGAAAGTTACACAGATCAGCAAACAACATGGTCTGTTTGCTTGTTTATGGCTGGTTTTGTCCAAGGGGCTAAGTCGTGAGCACCTTGAGATTTAGCAAAAGAACGAAAAGTCCCAGGCTACGACTTGTCATGAAGGCAAAGGGAGAGAGCATCACTGAACCAAGGCGGGGGTGGGAAGTGCAAGCAAATCTAACTTGCAGCTACTTGTTGTCTTTCATAGAAATATTGAGAAGGAAAGCTGGAAGGGACTTCCAGAGGTCATCTAGTCCAACCCCCTGCCTGAAGCAGAATCGGCCATCCTATACAAATCCACTTTCTAACCTCTGAGCAAAACTACAGTCAACACTGCCACAGAACACAAGACAATGACACCCAAACTTGCCACAGATAGAGCAAGGTGACCATGGCAGCCAACATCCTGCTTCTGTAAAAGGTTGTTAATATACCCACAAGAGATCACAGGGAGAAGATCATGCCCCACTACTACAGAAGGAGGCAACCCCCTCTACCCTCTGTCTGTACCAATCCGACCATGGGGTAAAATTCCTTCCTTACCCCAGATGTGGCAATCGGTATGACCCTAAGCGGAGGGGCAAGGCCCCCTCTAGCCAGGACCTCCAGATTTAAGTCCCAGCAGGAGCACTGCCGCAGCCCAGTCAAAATCCCTAACCTTGCCTGCAGCCAACACCTAATGCCTTTGAAGAAGGCTTTAAAAAAAAAAAAGAAAGAAACTGCCCTCCTGACACACACACACACACACACACGCCCCCCCCTTAAAAAAATTGAGTAACTCAGAGCACAGCCTGTCCTAAGTGTCTGGAAAATGCCAAGTTCATTTGGATGCTGTCTTTTAATAATGAACTAAATGCCAGAATTATTAGCATTCAGCAGGTTGCAGTGTCTCCCCCGTTGTCTATATATGAGCCTAGTGTATTCGTTACTCTGTTCTGTCATGCTTATTTTCTCATGTAGTTTGTAGAGGCAATAATTCTGTTTGCATAAGTCAGTAAGCTCCTGTGACCGTATTTGTGATCCATCACCATCCACACTGTCTGTTGGCTGTCAGATTCATTTGTGGTGGTTTGTGCTTGGCGTACCTAGGGGTAGCTGCATTATGTTTGATGCACCAAATCCAACCAGTCAAAATAGCAAACCTACCGTTATAAATAGTTTTTCAGCTTTAATCTTGTATCTGATTTTTGCTGCATGGCTACCATATTTACCCACTTCCAAGATGAGGTTATTTCCCTTATTTTACATTTAGGGTATGAAATAGCTCCTCATCTTGGAATCAAGTACAGAGTAGCAGCAGGGGAGAGGCAGCTGCTGCTGCTGTCTGTCCCCCATCTACTCCCTTGCTCTATGTCTGGCACATGGAGCAAGTAACAGCTGACACAGCAGCAGCAGCTTTGACCAAGTCATGGAGCTCAGGGTGCAGCTGCCACTGCTACCAAGCTGGGCTAAGGCTAGAGCAAGCATGTGCTGGAGTGGGGCTGGAGGGTAAGTGGCGGTGGGGGGTGGAGAGGCTGCAGGAGTGGAGGAAATGTGGGGCAGATGGGGGGCAGACACTGGGGTGCTAAGAGGTGGGGGGACAGGCAGCGTGGGGGTAGGTGTCAGGGACAAGGGGTCAAACTGTTTGACTCACCCCTGCCACTGCTTTCCTCACTGCAGCAATAAGGGGGATGAATTTAGGATGACCCTCCCATAATTAGATGGAAAGTTGGAACAAATTTATAACTTTTTCTTGCATAGAATGTAAGGGGGTGGGGTGTCTTAAATTCAGAGTCGTCTTGGATTTGGGTAAATACCGTAATTTGCTACTGAGTGCTTTTCTACAGACGTTTCTATTGTACCTGACTAGATTTTTAGACTGCCCAGATAACCGTTTTAGGTATTTGACTGCTTCTAATTTTAGTCTAAGTGAAATGTTTGATTTCTCACAACTTTGTACATCTCATTATATGCATCTGAAGTCATCAGCTGATTTCAGTGTTTCTTCATTTTTGTCCTTTTAGGAGTAATATTGTGGTTGTTCTCTTATTTCTTTTATACAATGCATTTATCTTGTGTGCTCTTGTTTCATCACTGCGTAAAATGAGTTCTTTTTTATCTTGAAAACCAGGCGGACTGTAGCAGAGGAAATGAGTTTGATTGAATGGTGAGCCTCTATTGAACTGCAATGACATGACTTTAAAAAACCCGCAACCTGAAGCAGAAAGATTATTCTGTCTATGCTTGACATTTTGGCATAGGAAACATGTCCCTTTTAGAAAGATCTGCAGTGTAGAGATGACATCTGTCTTGTATATCTTGGAAATAGTGTTTCCTCCTTCTTCCTTGGCACTCAGCTGTGCTTTTTCATTCTTTTAGAAGGCAAAAGGTGGCAGTACTCCTAACCTGCCAGCAGGCATAGGGAACAGTGTTCCCTTCTCTTGAGGTATAGAGGACATCTGGCATTTCTGTGTAGTTTCTCTCCACTCTTGTGGGAATGTTTTGTCTTAATGAAGTTGTAAAATTGCTGCTATTCATACCTCCGTGGTAGTAGACAGAAAGATCCCAGTCCTGATCTATGCTTTGTTCTGTCAAGGCTATTTTCTTCATTAGGAATTTGCATGAAAATTAACTTTCTCTTGTTTTATTTTGGAGACACTATAATACAAGGTAGCAAAATGACAACTTGAGTTCATGCTCTTTGGAAAATCTTTAAACTGTATCTTCAGGCTTCATGGTCCTGCAAAATGTAACCTATGTGGTCTTTTTTGATTCTAGTAGAGTAGTTACCATTAAGATGTCAGAATCTCTTGGGGATTTTTTGCCCACCTGTACAGGAGGGAACAGGTGTTTCTGATAAACTCTTGTAGTAGCTAAACACTGACCTTTTAATAGTAACTGGTAATCTCCCATGGCACACTATGGGAATAAAATGTAATGGTGTAAACTGCCAAGCTTTGTATTTTTTATTTAATTGCAGATTTATTTTATTTTATTTTATTTATTTATTGATGCAGGATCCTGTTTATGGTAAAGGGAAACTTGGAGAAATTCAGGGACTTGTACTGGGGATGCTGGATACGTTTAACTATGAGCAGGTAAGTTGTATGCATCTTCTCATGCTGCCCATCTGTGACTAAGCACGTGGAGGAAAAGGTGATTTGATTAGAAACAGTCAACATGGATTTGCCAAAAGCAAGTCATGCCTGACCATCCTGACTGCCTTCTATGATGAGATGACTGGCTCTGTGGATGTGGAAAGAGCAGTGGATGTGATGTACCTTGACTTTTAACAAGCCTTTTGATATGGTTTCCCACAACATTCTTGCAAGCAAGCTAAGGAGCTATGGGTTGGATGAATGGACTATAAGGTGGATAGAAAACTGGCTCGATCGCCAGGCTTAATGTCTAGTTGGCAGCCAGCATCAAGTGGAGTACCCCAGGTGTCAGTCCTGGGGCTGGTTTTGCTCAATATCTTCTGGAAGAAGAATGGAGTGCACCCTCAGCCAGTTTGCAGATGATACCAAGCTGGGGGAGTAGATATGCTGAAGGGTAGGGTTAATATTAAGAGTGACCTCGATAAATTGGAGGACTGGGCCAAAAGATATCTCCTGAGGTCCAATTAGGACAAGTACAAAGTTCTGCACTTAGGACAAAACAATCCCATGCACTGGTACAAGCTGGGGGCTGACTGGCTGGGCAGCAGCTCTGCCGAAAAGAACCTGGGGTTACAGTGGACAGTCAGCTAAATATGAGCCAGCAGCGTGCCCTTATTGCCAAGAAGGCTGATGGCATACTGGGCTGCATTGGTAGATGTGTTGCCAGCAGATCAAGGGAAGTGATTATTCCTTTGTATTCAGCACTGGTGAGGCTACATCTGGAGGGCTGTGTCCAGTTTGGGGCCCCCCACTGCAAAAAGGATGTGGACAAATTGAAGCAAGTCCAGCAGAGGGAAGTGAAAATGATTTGCGTGCTGGGGCACATGACTTCTGAGGAGAGGCTGAGGGAACTTATTTAGTCTAGAGAAGAGAAGACTGAGGGGCATAGGTGACTGGTGTCCCCTGATACTGGGGAGGCACCAGCAGCTGATCGTTGCCTGGGGAGGTACCCAGCAGCTGGTGGCAAACCCAGCAGTGCTTCTCTCGGTGCCCCCACACTCTCGGAGGGTGGGGGGGCGTGCACCGGCCTGCCAATCGGCAACTGCCCTCAGATGCCACTGGCAGTGCCGGTGGTGGCCAATGTCAGGGGGTGCACGTGCCCCCACATGCACCCCCTACACATCACCACTGTTGAGGAGGGATTTAATTGCAGACTTTCACTACCTGAAGGGTGTTTCCAAAGTGGATGAAGCTGGACTATTCTCAGTGGTGGCAGACAGAACAAGGAGCAGTGGTCTCAAGTTGCAGCAAGGGAATTTTAGGTGAGGTATTAGGAAGATTTCTCATGAAGAGGGTGGTGAAGCACTGAAACAGGCTACCCAGAGAGGTTGTGCACTATCCATCCATCCTTGGAGATTTTTAAGACCCCGCTAAACAAAGCCTTGCCTGGGATGATCTCCTTGGGGCTGGTCCTGCTTTGAGCAGTGGGTTGGACTACATGTGATCTCCTGAGGTCCCTTCCAACCCTCATTTTTTATGATACAAAAGTTACCTGGTATTGTCTGGAAGAGGAGTGGTATGTTTCCGACACAGTAAGTTATTAAGAATGAAAGCACTGATGGTATGTATTTGTTTTAGTTCCATGAGACAGGAGAAGGAAATTGAATAAATTATTCTTAAACAGGTTGTCACTTGAACAGTTGTGATGCATATATTCTCCTACACTTTAGCACATGTGGAGGTGGATGTAGTTTAGGTTGTCTACTGAAATTTACTTAAAACGGGGTATACGTGTTTTGATTTCTCTGTGGGTTTTTTGGTGTTTGAGTTCTAGCTACAGCTGTAGCTCTTGGCCTTGACCTTTCTCTCCCCTACTCCAAACCCTGCCTGTACCCCTCATTCCCTACCCCTCTGTCAGCCCATTGTCCTTCCCTCCACCCCATACCATTTCTGGTAGATGTAGTCACTCACCTTCCATCAGGGATAACCTTCATACACATGGGATCAACCCTGCCTCACCCCATAGGGACTCCCAGACAGGGTCTCAAATAATTAGCCTTCCTGCATAACTTATAAAGGAAGAGAGACAGCAAAGAGTTAAGATCAGCTCTAGTTCTCACTATACAGCACAGCCACCCCTTCCCCATCTCATCCTCTACTGCCTCCTAATACTGATTATACAGTACAGCTGTCCCCTTCATCCCAAGGACCTGTGCTCTGGGGGAAATTGGGGATGCCTGACTACTTTAACACCACGTGATCCTTCCGTAGATCAGCAAGACTCCCAGGGCCTGAACCATGGGTATGTCATTTGGGGCAGGTGTTTGGTATTTGTCATGGAGCCATTCAGCCGTTTCCTTGTATTATATTCAAGAGACATATAGGCTAACTTTTGTCTGATTTCTTTTCATACACTTTTAGCAGGCAGTGTTTGAAACTGGACTCTGACTGAAATGTGTCCCTGGGAGTCTGATTCTTCTTTGTCAAATGATGCATGTTATCTCTCTACTCCATACCTGTCTTCCTCAGCCCATCTTCCAGATATCACTTTGTGGATATTCCAGCTGTTATCTGGACCTTAGCAGACATCAGACTGAGCCCCTGACCTTCCTTTCTCCCGCTTTCTCTGTCACCACTCTCCAACCTTACGTTCAGTCCACTATGTTCATCTTTATCTGATGCGGAAAAAAATAATGGAAACAACTTTGTTTATAGGTGGGGGGGGTTAGTGTTTGCTGCCACGTAAGCAATTGCTCATATTGCTATAAGAGTATTGTACGTTCCCATGTGTGTCAGGTCAGCTTATCTTCATCCACTTCCAAGAAGATGACAAGAATAGATAATAAGTGCAAAGTTTGGAGTCTTTTTTGTGCCCTTCCCATATTGCCATACTGCCAAGATTGCAGGTTCCAGGTGCCAGACCAAAGAGCTCTTTGCAGCAGCACTGCTTTAAACTCAAGAATTTAAGTTCGTTGGCAGTCCCCTTGTGCCCCACTGGCAGTGCATACCTGGATGTGAACTCCAGGGTTAGCTACTGAGATTGTGCATCCTGGATGCAGATGAGGTTCACTTTACCCCAAAAGGTGGGCAGCTGCTTCATCCCACTGCCTCCCCACTGGAGGTCACTGCCAGTGAGGAAGGGCACTGAATGGATGAACCTAATCTGACATGGTTGCACGTGGCTGTTGTTCCCCAAGGTGAGTAACCAGTCAGCTTCCTGTGGAGAGTGGAGCGGTGCCCACAGTAAATCTGGGCAAGGAAGGATGTGTGGCCAGACTCTAGCCCTCTACATTTCTGAACAGCTGGTTACTTAGACCCACACTTTATCCTCCAGACCTGTTAACAGATGGCAGCCCAGGCCCCTACGGTGCTCCACCCTCCTCGTTGGAGAAACTAGTGTTCCTCAGGGAGAAGCTGATTATAGTGCACAGGCCTTTCCTGACTGCATTGGGATCACCTCTAGAAGAACCCAGTTCCTTTCCTGCTGCATTCACCTGGCTCTGTAGGAGAAGGAGGGTGGAGCTGCTCCTGCCCTGCTCCAGTGGGGAACAATGCTGAAAGTCTGGGTTCCTCCTCTGTCTGGTCCACGGGATGTTTCTTGCCAGCCAGGGGATCAAGTGTGGGGAAGGAGAACCCACCTGCCACTGCCACTTCTGTCCCTTGCTGAGCTCAGCTGCAGCATTCTTGGAGCCCCTTCCCCCTGTGAAAGGGATTGGGAGGGTTGTGGGGGGCTGCAGTTGAGCTCAGCAGGGGACAGCAACAGTGGGTGAGTCCCCTGTTCCCCGCTCACTCCCTGGCTGGCAGGAAGCACCAAGGGGCACCCATCACAGAGGAGGAACCTGCCTGCTTCTGCTACTGTTCCTGTATGGAGTATGTCT